GGAATGCTCACATCTAGCCAGGGATGTCATACTGAGGACATGGAATGCTCTCATCTGGCCAGGGATGCCATACTGAGCACATGGAATGCTCACTTCTAACCAGGGATACCATGCTGAGCACATGGAATGCTCACATCTGGCCAGGGATATCATACGGAGGACATGGAATGCTCTCATCTGGCCAGGCATGCCATACTGAGCACATGGAATGCTCACATCTAACCAGGGATACCATGCTGAGCACATGGAATGCTCCCATCCAGCCAGCCAGGGATATCATTAGTACAGTACTATCCGCTTACAAAAAAAAATAATTTTTAGAATAATGATAGACATTTTTATTTCATACATTTGTGATGATTCTTTCCCTCTATGTTAAAGTGACACTATAGTCACCAGAACCACAACGGATAAACGTAGTAGTTTTCGTGTTTATAGCATGTCTCTGCAAGCTTTTTAATGTAAGCGCACTGCCTTTTCAGAAAAAGGCAGTATTTACATTACTGCCGAGGAATCCTTATAAGGCGGCCACTAGAGGTGCTTCCTAGTCCAGTGTTGCACAACGTGCAGCACTAGCATTCACGCTGAACACTCCTCATAGAAATGAATTGATTCAACGCATCTCTGTGAGGAGATGCTGATTAGTGCAGCGCAGTGTTTTGCCACGCATTGAGTTGGCTGATATATATTCAAACATTGTACATTCCTGTGCATTGTATTGATGAGGTGATCTGTAATACGCTCACAAACTGCACGTTCCTGTGAGTTATTTTGCTGTAGAGCTTGTGATACACTCACACACTGCACTTTCCCATGCATTTTATTGCTAAGGTGTTCTGTGATATACTTGCACCTCACACAATACTGTCAGTTGTATTGCTATGCGATACACTGATATGTTTCACATTATATTATTTCACACACACACACTTAAAATGTATTATTATTATTTTATTATTTACATAGCGCCATCAAATTCCATAGCGCTGTACAATGGGATAAACTCCCTGTTTACTGAATAAGAATATACCCGACAAGTAAGAATGCTATCCCCCCCAGATTTGTGGGAGTTCCTACGCCCATGGCAACAGTTCAATTTCTAATATCTGATAAATGGAATTGCTGCCGAGTGCTGAACTGTAGTCTTATATACCCATGTTTATGGGATATGCTCCGCTCCCATTTAGAAGAAGGAAAAAAAAAATAGGAACGTGTGTGTGTGTGTGTATGTATGTGTATGTATGTATATATATATAAATGTGTGTGTGTGTGTGACTATGTATGTATAACTTATCTGTTCAACAGAATTGTGACACACCTTTCTGCTTTTTCATTGATATTCCCTAGGAAGCAGTAAAACCGACTTTGGCCCCCAACTCACTTCTTTTAATAAGGAGGTTTTCACTCTCATTGGTTGGGATCCTCGTGGATATGGGTGCTCCATCCCACCTACCCGTGACTACCCACCAGACTTTTTTGAGAGGGATGCAAAGGATGCTGTAGATTTGATGAAGGTAAATACTTAAAATCTTAGTCAAGTATTATTAACAGGGAGCAGTAATGAAAATGGAACACCACGTCTATGGGCAGTTTTTACACGTTGTTTCACAAACATATTCAAAGTGATGTTTTTGAAAGAACATTCTGAATGACCGCAAATAATTGCACTTTTTACTAACCAGAATTCTCCATATTACAACAGGAGCTAAAACTGCTACAAATTGGTCAGTGCCAGCAACTGGAATGAGACTTAGCTCCAAATAATTGTAAATATGCACTTTAAGAAATGTCCATTTTCTTTGGGGATGCAGGGAAAGACGAATTATATTTGCCTAAACTTCTTCCTGCTGTCCTCTTCAGCTTCCGTGGTTCAACACTGAAGTGTATAGAGAATCCTCCACAGAGAGAGTGTTTTCCCCCTCCACTGTCACTAGAATCAGCTGGGGGAATTTGGGCCAAACCGGCATCCAACTAAATGTCAGGTGTCCAGAAACCTTTTCTATCTTCCAAAAAAAAACATTATTCGTCTGAAATAAAATGTCTTGGCATGCACATGTCTTTTAGGCACTGACTACAAGTGTGCTCACTGAGTATAGATAGATTGTTAGCTCTATATTTAGGAGTTTATCCTGGAGATACTTTGTGTCTAACTTTTTCTGCTAGCCTATATTAATCACTATTGAAGAACATATTTAATGGCATTTATTTTGCGTATGTCTTCTGAAAAGACTTATAGACTGGGTTAGGGAATTCCATAAAAACATTGCATCCCTATTGAAGTCTTGCAAACTGGGGGTCGCTTTTAAGCAATTGGAGACCACAATAAATAATGTGAAAACTTACTGCATTTCATTTTGGTTACTGTGGCAGACTCTGTGGACGTATTTAATGTGCTCCTCATATTTCTTGTAAATTGACAGAATCAGCGGGCGTTCCACATTGTTAAACAATGTGCATGTCTGCAGCCTCAAGGTCCTGATGACTTTTCTAGTTCAGTGATCTGCTGTCTGCTGCATTTGGCTGGCGGCCATCTAAAGTCAAATATAATCTCTGTGTTTGGATATAATGCTAGAAAAACTTGAAGATTCAGACACTAATTGTGGGCCACAGAATGTGCTAGATTTTCTTCTGTGATATAATTGTTTCTTTTTACCTAAGGTTACAGTTGTTTCCCTTCCTTAACGGTTTATCTTGCAGTCATTTTTTTGTGAATGTTGAAAAACATTACTCTCTCCTCTTTTTTTATAAAGCTTACTTGTCCCATTGTATGGAACCTTAACAAGTTATGGTGTTTATGATTTTAATGAAAGGAACATTTTATTTATTTTAAGCCAGGATTATGTTCTAAGTCTTTGTGTGTGTTTGTGTTTGTGTACATACTCTGATACAGACTAGAATGCAGTAACAAGTTATTTTCACTTCATTCATTTGTCTCTTTATCTCTTTATTACATTAACAAGTGTATTTAATAAAGTCTGACTTGGGCAAAGTCACCCAGTTGTGCACAGGGCCAATCAGGCTGCGAAATTTGGACATTGTTCAGAATATTTAACAATGTCTGGATTTTGTTTTTCTGGCCAAAAAAGCCAGAAATGTGTGTGGATTTCAGCTTGACCGAATACGGATGGACAGCTGAGGTCCGAGTCCCAGATAGTTAGATTCCAGGAATGAATGCTTAAATGCCTAGCAGGCAGCAGGAAATTTTTTTTACTTATCTGGGTCAATATGACTTTTCTAACTTTAGTGAGCTTAAAAACCTCCCATGTGCCCCACCTGCCATACTGTGGGTGGGGGCCTCTGCTCGCTGTAACTAAACCTAGTGCTTTACGGAGAGGGGGTATATTTCAGGTTGCAAACCTCACTGTAGTTGGGTCGAGGTCAACGTGAGTAATGATTATACTGGGTTTTCAATAACATCTTCCCACTGAAATAGAGCAGATACTGTAATATCTAATGATTATATAATCTAGTGGGGGTACTATACATATTATAGCTGATTAGTATGTGACTTGTCCAGTGATGCAGAATAGAATATGCTTATAGTAATGTTGTATTATAATATCCCCTCAACCCCTGAAACTAAACAGCATTCATTTGGCAATAGTTTTAATGTATGAAGAATGAATGCCCTGTCTGAATGCAAAAGAGAGGAAAGTTAGAAAAACATAAACCTTAGTAGCACGGCATTTATCAGTGCTCAAACTACCAGGAAACCAGAGACCATGTTGTTGATGTCAGTGAAAGCAGACAAGCACCACGGTTAGCAGAGGTTCTGACATTCCAGTTCTTAATAGTTTCATATGCTTTCTCAGCTGATGTTATTTGTAAAGATCTGTTATCCTTTGATTTTTATGTCAGTCGGTACTAATAATTTTATTTTTGTGTGTGTTTTCATATCTCATCATTGGTATTATTTGTATATCTACTGTAGGCCCTCAAATTCAAGAGGTTTTCTTTGTTGGGCTGGAGTGATGGTGGCATAACAGCACTAATTGCAGCAGCCAGATACCCATCACTAATCCATAAACTTGTTGTCTGGGGAGCCAACGCCTATGTGACGGAAGAGGACCTCCAGCTTTATAATGGTAAAAGTTGTGGTTCACCTACCATCCTGTGTCAATTATACAATACTGCCAAGTTCAGTTTTAATGAAATGTGTGGGGTTATGTTTGTCAATGTTTTTCCAGTTTGTGAGTAATTTATGACTGGCCTATTTTTATTTTTTTCTCTACTATCCTTTCTTCCACGACCTTAATGAAAGATGAATTTTCTTCAGGAAGTCCTTGTTGTATTTTGACGAAAAGAGAGGGATGGTTTTGCATTTTTAAGTGGTTTCAATACTGTCTCTGGTACAAGCCGTACATTAAATTGTATCCCAACTATGGCAATGGTGCATGGACATAGGCAACCAGTGGCACTAAGGTCTCCAGGATTGATCGACACCATGTGGTGCGGTGTAAATGTTGCAAGCATGGACATTTGATAAGCCATAACCGCTTTTTCAGGGGGATTTGTGGCGTCAGTATACAACAAACCGTTGAAGGGAAGAACATGTTTAAAGGGACACTATAGTCACCAAAACAACTTTAGCTTAATGAAGCCGTTTTGGTATATAGACCATGGCCCTGCAGCCTCACTGCTCAATTCTCTGCCATTTAGGAGTTAAGACACTTTGTTTATGAACCCTAGTCACACCTCCCTGCATGTGACTTGCATAGCCTTCCTAAACACTTCCTGTAAAGAGTCATCTAAGGTTTATCCTTCCTTTATTGCAAGTTCTGTTAAATTTAGATTTTCATATCCCCTGCTATATTAATAGCTTGCTAGACCCTGCAAGAGGCTCCTGCATGTGATTCAAGTTCAATTTACAGAGCAAGAGATACAATTGTTTAAGGTAAATTATATCTGATTGAAAGTGAAACCCTTTTTTTTTTTTCATGCAGGCTGTGCCAATCCCAGCCAGGGCAGGTGTGGCAAGGGCTGCAGAAACAAAGTGATTTAACTCCAAAATGGCAGTGAATTGAGCAGTAAAACCTGAGAGGCATGATCTATACTAAAACTAAAACTGTTTCATTAAGCTATAGTGTTCCTTAAATGGAAGCATAAGGTGTGGAGCGCGATCTTGGCAGTTAGTATTGATTGTGGATCATAAACATGATTTGCTATAGAAGACCGAATTAGTAGAAGCATTATTATGAATAGCACATTACAGAGATAATCTGGGTGGAAAGGAGCATTGATGCACAGAATGTGTGAATGGAGACTGAAATGAAGTGAGAAACGTGTTTTATTTTTCTTATTTATTCTTGTTATCCGAGCATGTTGTGGGGGCTGGAATGGCCTTGTATAGAGGCTGATGTAATGAGGCACCGCTGATGTTGATGATGGAATAGAGAGGAAACAGGAAGCTAATGTGCATGGTGATGTTATCGAAAGGTAAGGATAGGAAAAACATGGAAAGCAATAGGAAATACCCTGAAGTGACTAGGTAAAACAAACAAAGATTGTCTGTATAAAAGAAGAGAAATGAAAATGTATTTGGCGATTTTGGATCTATTTGTAGATTTATTTTATATATAGATATAGTGGTAAAACATGACTTGTATGTTTCACTTCATTGTTAAATGAGGGACCCAAGCAAGCTAGCTGCTTGTACAGTTGTGTTACCTACTCGGTCCAGCATATGGTCAAACAGTCCTACATTGCAGAAGTTCAATATGGATTACTATAGCATTTAAAGGTGAAGTGGTATATTCTCTCTTCTGCATACACTGCATCCGCTAGTAAAAACTGTTATTTAGGGCTCTTGTGCTGTTGTACTTATTTTTTTTACTTCAATCACAAACATAACTCTGAACCAGCCTAAAGGTAGAGACTTAAAGAGTATTAGATATATGCTGTCTCCCATGGATTTATCTCTTAAAAAACCACAAAGCATTGAAAGGGTTAACTGTACAATCCGCAAGAGTCCCAAGTAATTTTTACACTTTTAATGCAATTCCGTTGGCAAAACAGGCACCACCTATAACAAATGTATTATTTAAATTGGCTGCGAACATGATCTACCTTTTTAAAATAGTAGTTTTGATATCCTTCTGGGTTTTTTTCACAGCTGTTAAAGATGTGTCAAACTGGAGTGAGGCGATGAGAAAACCGATGGAGGATCTGTATGGAAAGGAGTATTTTGCCAAGACATTCAAAGCGTGGGTTGAAGCAATGAGTAATATTACCAGCAAACCTGATGGTAAATGTTAACACATAAGAATTAAAATAAGTGTAAATCAATAGAGTGTTTGTTTGGCGTGGGGCTCTTGTAGTGCCTACAGCCCAGCCACTCATATTCCACTTATCTTTACACTAATGCAGAACAAGTGTAGCACGAAAGCAGTGAATAGTGATGCTGTTGAGGGGGAATTAGGAGCTAAGTCTTGTATATTTCGATTTTTAGGTGGTGAGAGGCCATCCTGAAAGAAATGCCAGATAAGGTGTTTCTGTGGTTCTTCCAAAATATAACTTTTAGCCTATTTGTTGCATTTAGTAAAACCTGCATTATTGACTTTGAATTTAAATACATATATTTGTGCAATAAGGCTATGGAGATGATAGTTATTTAAGAGCTATTGAACTGCAGAAAATATTAATCACAAATGATATAATTGGTTTATACAGCAGGTAATATTTGTCGTCATTTGCTGCCCTTCATTGAGTGTCCAACACTTATCATACATGGAGAGAAAGATATGATGGTCCCATCTTTTCACCCCCATTTTATCCACCAGCAAATTAAAGACTCCAGGTGAGCAAGTTACATAAATGGTCTTTTCCTAATAGCACTATGACAATATTTGATTGAATTGAATGCGATAAAACAACATTTTGAAAAATACCGTCCTTTTCTTTTCCTGGCAAATATCCATGTCAGGATCACTCTAGTGGGTTAAGCTGGTCCCTCTCAGCTGATAGGACAGGACAATAATTTAAAATAATGTATGTAAAGGATCCTTAAAACCAGCCTTCAGGAACCACTTTTCTTGGCACTTTATATACATTTTAAATTGTAGCTGTTATTCATCCTTGTATATTTGGTATTGCTGCCGGCATACCTTTCCTGTAGCCAAAGGGAATTTTAAAGTTATTTGAAAGAGCTGCTTTAGGGAGAAGGATTTTTTTTTTTATACATAATTTTAAATTAAAGGGACACCGTAGGCACTGTATCTGCTTCATCTCATTAAACTGGTTATAGTGTCTGGAGTCTTCTGGTCCCATCATTTCTATAAGCATTAAACAGTTTTTAAAGTTTTAATGCTAAAAAGAGTCCCCGGCAATCCATCCCCTCTGTGCTGCTTTGGCTAATAAGGAAGTATTAGCCTGAGCAGTAATGGGCAGCTGTGATTGGCTGAGAGTGTCAGCTGACTGCTTTTAGCCTGTCAGAGTTCCAACTGACGGTATGAGTGGGTATGACAACAAGGAAGTGTGTAATCTCTGCCTTAGCTACACATACTGAAGGGGCCGGACTGTGGGTGGCCAGGGACTCTTATTTTGTGGAATACTGCATGAACATGGTGCAACACTGAATGGAGGGACAGTGCCAGGGTACTCCAGGCACTATAACCAATTCAAAGAAATGAAATGCTTATAGTGACTACAGTGTCCCTTTAAGGGAGAAGGATTCTTTTTATACAAAATTTTAAATGAATTATTCCTGTCCTATTAGCTGAGAGGATGGAGCTTAACCTATGAAACTGATCCTGACATGGATTAGCCAGGAAAACAAAGTATCTGTCAATCTTTGATGGCATTCCTTAGTCCTTTGTTGAGGTTGCGTTATCTGGGATTCTTTGTGATTGACAGTTTTGCACCAGTTACTAAATAAGAGCTAGACAAGTGCTAATGCCCCTAGCTGACTCTGTTGTGTTGCTATTTGGCACCACAAGGAGGAGCATTTATCATTTAACTTACCAAGCCCTTAGTGAAGCATCTAGGTTTTCTTGCATACATACGCTGATGTTGGCCCATAGCACTTTAACAAGCAGCTTACAGGCAGTCATCTTGTCTTCATTACCATTGGCTTATTACAGTTAGTTAGAAATCTTACAGAGAGAGAGAGCAAACCAGTGTGCCTTTAAATTACATAGGTTTACATGCAACATTGCAAATAAAGGGAAGAAGGCATGAATCACTTGTATTATGATGGGAGGGAGAGTTGAATGTATGTCAGGACAAGTCCCAGTTTTCTCTGACACTAAAACAGGAGATCAGTGTCTGTGTGATGTCATGCTCTAATCAATACCCATGAGCATTGCAGAAAGCATATTAATGCTAATCAATAGTATAGGAAGGGCTGTAAAACCACTGTGGAGGATTTTGGACTCCCTATATTCACTATATTTTCCAAATATATTTAATCTATCCATGAGATGGTAGTTGATCATGCAATAGGACCATGATACAAAACTGTGTTAAGTTATCTTTGGGGATGCAGAAGACAGGAATTGCAAGGTTGGAGTACTCAAGGAACTCTCATACTTATTGGGAAATCCAATTTCAAAGACCAGGGTAATCCAAAGAGCCAAACCAGATAGTCCAACAATAAGAAATCAAGGGAATATTCTGAAAAAAAATGAAGCCAGTGATGAAGTTGATAATCCATACCTGTGGTCATATAGCAATTCAAAGAGTCACTTTAGGTAGCATGGGTTCTAAGGGTTATTCTCTAAAGTGAGAATTCAAATTGAATTTCAAATTTAAGGCCAGACTGGAAGCAAATCTGAATTAGAGCATGTTTCCATTTCTGCTATTTTGACCTTAAATTTGAAATTATCTTTGAATTCTCACATTAATATGTAACCCTGAATGTGTTCAACATATAAGTAGTGTTTATAGTTCACACTATGGTAGCATTAATGCTTCTGAACACTATTAAAGGAACACTTCGCAACAGTGAAGTTATG